AGGCAGGCAGATTGCTCGAGGTCAGGAGTTCGAAACCAGCCTGAGCAAGAGGACCCCGTCTCTACTATAAATAGAAAAGAAATTAATTGGCCAACTAATATATATATAGAAAAAAATTAGCCGGGCATGGTGGCACATGCCTGTAGTCCCAGCTACTTGGGAGGCTGAGGCATAAGGATCGCTTGATCCCAGGAGTTTGAGGTTGCTGTGAGCTAGGCTGATGCCACAGCAATCTAGCCCAGGCAACAGAGTGAGACTCTTGTCTCAGAAAAAAAAAAAAAAAGATAAACCTTCTTGCTAATATCGGAAGAGGAAGCAATGGTAACACTTGAAGTATGAAGTAGGGCTAAGCAGGCCAGGGCTCAGAAGACTGTATCAATCCCTCCAGGAGGACAGCTTCAACAAGGGCTTCAGATTCAAACATGTTACCTTGTTGGATGCTTTCCTTGTACCACTTAATCCTTAATCTTCAGCCACCTGGTTTGGAATCTATTACTATCTTAAAGGTCAAAACAAGTCAAAGTCATAAAGCCAAGGGATGGGAATCCAAGTTCTAGTCCACGTTAAATCTAGAACCTACTAATTAATTGAACTGTGGGCAAGAAGCATCGTATAAGCCAAGAAAAGAGGAATTCTGTACTACCTTCTTAGAGAGCTTTCGTAATAGCTCTTAAAACCTTAGAACCACATCCTGTAACCCAGAAATTCTATACCTAGACTCTTTAAAAAACCACAACAAAAACAAAAATATAATAAAAAAAAATTGCACTGAGCCAGGCACAGTGGCAAGCACCTATAGTCCCAGCTATTGTGTCTGAGGGGAGAGGATCATTTTGAGCCCACCGGTTTAAGACCAGCCTGGAAAACATAGGGAGATCCCATCTCTAAAAATATAAAAAATTTAAAATAAATTGGGACTAACCTTTCAGGGGAGTCACTGATTAATATATTGTGAAATCCAGATATACTGGTATTAACAGAAAGTTGATCTCATATACTGACATGGAAAAAACATGATACAGAAAAAAAGGTCTAGACTACCACAAGTGTATGATGTCTATATCCATACAATTCGAGAAGGGAAAAAGGCTATGGCAAAAGGATGCTCTCGAGATAGGGCAGTGTATGCACCACCAGCTGTCAGGAGATCAAGTCCTACCCCAAGGGGCACGTGCTAACAGGAAGTGGAGCTGAGGTCTAAACCAGGTTTTCATCTGGTCAGTAAATTTAGATTCTGATCCTTATTAACTAGGCAATCCCATTTCAGCAGGGTTTATAGTTGTGATTCCCACAGTATTCCAGCAATTCTCTGACTTCAGGAAAAAGAGTAAATGAAATGAGGGAGAGAGGAAGAAAAAAATCCTAACCACCACCCCATTTTGCACACCAAGGGCCCAAGGCCACAGGCTCAAATGGGTGTGTATGGGGGAGGGGTCACTACCCATGACACAAACCGCCTCTCGAAACAGCTGGGAGAAGCCCCACCCCTCTGGAACTTAAAGCTGATTCCAGGGCTTCTGCCTGTGCAGCCGGTTCAGGTCCCACTTCACCCAGCCTCCCAAGATCCCAGAGGCTGGGGATACGGCAATAAGGCAGAGCCCCAGTGCTCAAACACGCATTCTATTCCAGTCTGGCTTTGGTGCCACAACCCAGTCCCCGGCCATCCTGCCACTGGGCTCCCCACATGTCCCCTGCCCCATCTCAGTCTTCACCCAGCCAGGATGCATGGAACCAGCAAGCAGCCAGGGGCCACCATATGCGCCTGCCTGCTGCTCTGCAGTTCACCGGGACACCACTATCACATCCCACACGAGCCTCCCAAGCCCAGCACGGTCCCCCTGCTGGGGGAGACCGAGGCTTTAAGCCCCCACACCCTCCAAATTTATCCCCTACGGTCAACTATGGCTATGGAGACTTACAGCCCAGCAAACATGGTTTCTACAACATTTCGGAGCCAGACGCCCCCTGCTGCTGTGCCAGGAGGGCCTCCTAGGAGAAGGCGCTGAATACTGCTATCCTGAGGCCATGTCGCCCAAACTATGGAATCCAGGATGCCCCACCTAAATGCCCAGGGCCTCCACCTCCCACCCTGGACTACAGCCAGAGACCCAAGGCTGAGGAACCAGGGAACTGAGTGTCACTGCTACTCGGAGCTCTTCTCTCCATGACTGCTTCCAGGAACACGAACTGCCTGACCAGAAGCACTCCACTGGCACTGGAGAACAGAGGAATGAGATACCCCAAAGAGTCAGAAGGCACAGTTTATTTTTTCCTTACTATCAGGGGATTGTGATTAGAGATATGAGCCATCCTCCACCAAGAAGGGAGCCAAGAGCCCTGGGGCCAGTGGCCACCCTGCCCAAAGGCACTGGCTCCAACTCCCTGAGCCTAGCTGGGTCTCACTATGGGTGTCCACCGGGAAGGACCTCCCAGGGGCTCCATGAGGGGACTAATGCCTTCCACCAGCCCCCTCTTCCCACAGTCAAGAATCAGCTAGCCCCTCACTTTCTTACCCAGAGCCAATCTCACTCAAATAGACTTCTTGGGAATTGGCAAGATGCCATTTTCCCCGACTTACATGGTCTGATAGGCCTATGAGAAGTGGTGTAGGGACACACCAACCTTCCTTGAAGCCCAGATGAGGTGCAAGTGTGGCGTGGGCACAAGCGTGCACGCATGCACGCGCGCGCGCGCGCACACACACACACACACACACACACACACACACACACACACACACACCTGCCTTGCAAGGCTTTCTGCTGCTACCTTCCTTCCTTCTCTGGGCATAGAATCTGCAGTTGCTTTTTGTCCTGTGGTTTTTGCTTCTTTTTTAAAGCTGAACCTCTCAACAAGACTGAGGTAGCACTGAACACTGCAGGGCCATGAGCCTTCACACGCACAAGCTCTCTGAAGGCTGCCTCCTGCCCCAGGCCCAGGACACTCAGGAAAAAGCCTCCCAGAGGATGCTGCAGAGCCCTGCCCTAGAGCTGATGGGGGGGACACGTGGCTATTTTGAATCTGCAGGAATGAAATAGCTGCCTGCTTATTTTTAGCAGGTCCATTTGCCCGGGAATAGATGCACGTTGGCTGGCTGCCAAGCGGTCACAGAGCTGAAGGCAGGCACGTGCTACAGCCACAGGCCTCAGCACTCATCTGCTCACTCCAGGTTCTAAAAGGATCCTTCTCTGGAGAGGTACCTGCAGCTTTTCAGAACAGCCCTTGGAAAAATAATGACCTCACTCCTAACCCAGCTGACAAATCTGTAACTGCAATCTAGAGCCTTCTGCTATGTTTCTTGTTAGAAAACAAATCCCTGGGAATGGCACGAAAAATGTTGGTCCCAGTGACTAAGCCAATTTGGCTAGTTACTGTGAAAAAGAGCTGCACATAACTGATGGGAAAGTCCACCATGAAAACAACAGCTTAGGAGTCAAAAGCCCAGCAAGTCCCCTCTGGCCAGGTCAGTGAAGCCACATCCACTCTGGGTTCTGAATGGATACTTACACATCCTCTAAGTTGGGAGTTTGAGCATTTCTCCCATTCTCCCAGCGTGCACACTGCCTACGACCGTGCCAGTGTCCACCAACAGGAAAGAGCCAGCCCAAGACACTCCATCTCCAGAGTGCCCTGCTTACCAAGTCCCTCCCGCAGGACTGTTCCCCAGCAGGGAATCAAAACTAGAGTCCAGCACTTCAGCCACTGCATTCAGAAAATGACAACACAAGGGTGGGTGGTCGTAGTGGTGGCTCACATCTGTAGTTCCAGCTACTCCGGAGGCTGAGGCAGAAGGAACACTTGAGGAATTCGAGGCTGCAGTGAGCTATAATCACGCCACTGCATTCCAGCCCGGACAACAGAGTGAGACCTAGTCTCTAAAAAGTAAAATTAAACACTTTTAACATTAAAAAAAAGAGAGGACAACAGCAGGCTATGGACCAAGCAGAAGCACGCTCCTTCTGTGAATGTTTGGTGGAGCCAGATCCAAAACCCAGACTTCTTCGCAAGAACCCAAGAATGTCTCTTGTATCAGATGTGTTTACCTAATTCCCCATCACGTTACAGCTACTCACCTTGCTTGTACATGCAAATATGTGTAAGTCACTACCAGGAGCAGCTTCTGACCACTAGGAGCTCCCAACCTAGATGGAAGAATCAATCTCTCTCATGTTCACATGCACAACCCGGTACCCCAAGCAGCCAAGCCAAGCAGCAGGCAAGGGCTCTCAGAGAGGGCCAGCCCTCCCTCAGCTGCCCCAGTGGGGAGGGTGCTGTGACATACAGTAAGGTTCTGCTGCCTTCCTGTGTGTGTGGGAGGGAGCAAAGCTGGAAGGAAGCCTAGGAGCCGTGCTGGGAGGGCCAGACAAAAGGAGTCTGACCTTTGTGGTCGAGGCCATGGAGCCAGAAAGAGTCTCGGCAGTTGCGACATGCCTGAAGTAGAGCAGGTCACAAGAGGCAAAGGCCTGGGGGACCCTCTAGGGGTGACTGCTGTCCAATATTGGCAGCAGCTTGATCACAGGAGGTTACTAAACACTTGAAATGTGATGAGTGTCACTATGAAACTCAGTTTTTAAATTTTATTTGATATTAATTTAAATTTAAATAGGCACGCACAGCAGTGGCTACCCACCGGACAAGTGCAGCTCTAGAGGGTGTTCCCAGAAGAGCCCAGGAAACATGAGGGCTGGAAAAATGCTGCAACGGCCAACACCTACCTTGCTGGGCAGCGTTCGGTCCTGCCACCGAGGGTGGGGGCGATGGTAAGCCTGGGCCACTCACCCTCAGCAGCATGGCTGGGGCCAGAGGTTCAGAGTGCTGGAGCCATGCCTCAGGTGTGGGGGTGTCAGCCCAGCTCCAGTGTCACAGGGTGGTTACCTTCATCCTTAGGGGCCTGCGTAACCTATGACCTCATGTGGCCACCCTAAAGATTCCAAATTAGCTCACAGTGGGGCTGCGAGGTCCTGCCCAGGACTGGCCCCACGCCCTCCATTGTGATGGGCCCAGAGCAACCAGGCCAGCCAGTGTGGCCAGACCAGCCACACCCCAGGAGTGCTCCCCCTTTCCAGCCGGGAGCCGACCAGCTGTCAGGATGTCACAGATCACTTTCCCAGCCTGCTGTGCAGAAGGCAGGCTGGACACGTGACCCAGTGACGTCCAGGTGGGAGTACCTGCTCAGTGATGCTTTCTCCAGCCAAAATGGAAACCCGGAGTCCAGCACCAGGAGCTCCAGGTAAGAAGGTTCGTGGCCAAAAATCCCAGTCTGGACATGGTCTCAAATTAAGAGCTCCTCTAGGCCAATTACTCAATTAACGCTGAAACCAACTCCTTGTTTGGAAAACTTGGTAACAAAGGGAGCAACACAAAGATAAAGTGCCCGGCCAGCCTCCTCCTCTGCTGACCAAACCCATGGCAGGTCCAAGTCTCACTCCTCCTCAGGTGAGGAAGGGAAAACCTCAGCACCTCCTGCAAAGATCTTGCCAATTGCTTCATTTGGGAGGTAGGGGTATGGTTTTTAAAAACTGCGAAGACTACATCACACCCACCCTGCCACTCATCTCTGGCCCTGGACAACCATCTTGCTTTACAAGTGAATTCCAACAGGTTTCTAAGGATGGTGACAACCCTAACCCTAATGCATTCCTGGGTACATGGAGATCCTGCCCACAGTCACAGACGATACTACACAGGAGTGCCCAAAAGGTATGAAGTGGAGATCTGACCACAAGCTTATTTAAAAGCCAATAAAGGTGACATGTGCTTTCAAAAGAAATCATAAAAGATGCTGGAGTACAGCAAAAGCCCCTTCCTGCCACCATCTCACATGGACAAAGCAAAGAGGTAAGAACTTGATTTCCCAATGGCAGACAGTGCCGTACAATCAACCCACAAAGGCATAAGGAGGTTACTTGTACCCAACAAATAACTGTCAGCACTTATAGGGACAAAGCATGACGGGACACAAATGAATCAGACAAGTTGCTGTCCTTGAAGCACCTTCCATGTTTCACAGTTTCTTTGGGGGCAAAAAAAACAGAAACAACAACAAAAAAAAAAAAATCAATGACCTCTTCTCTGATGAGCCTGTTACTGCCACCCTCTGCCACTACCCATCTGAAAGTTTGGTCCAAGAGACAGGCAAGTATCCTTCTGGGGTGGGGGATGAATAGGACACAAGGTGCCTGTGTCCCCAGGTTAGGATGTGCCAGCGTCCTGCAGTGGGGAATGAGAGGACACTGGCATGAGTGCCAGCATTGGGGGAGCCAAGAGGGTGGGACTGCCCCATTCACTATGCAGGCTCTCATTCGGTACCCACTGCAACACTACCTGGTGCCCAAATCCAGGTCCCCTTTCATTTCTAACCTCTCCAGAAAGGCAAGCCAGACCTATTCCTGGCCTGGTGCACAGGCTCTACAAGCCTAGCTGTCTTTGCCGACTTTCCCTCAATCCTGTTTTCAGCCACACATGCCTGACCCATGTCTTCAAAGGTGCCTGCTCTTCTGCAGGAATCAGCTTGTTTCTTGGGTTTGGTTTGATTTGTTTTTATTATAGGAGTGTTACCTGAACAGCTTCTTGCTTTCTTTTTTTTACTTTTTGAGACAGAGTCTCACTGGGCCCCCCAGCCTAACCTCCACCTCCTGGGCTGAAGTGATCCTCCAGCCTCAGCCTCCCAAGTAGCTAGGACTACAGGTGAGCAGAGCACCAACATGCACAGCTAATTTTTCTATTTTTAGTAGAGATGGGGTCTCAGTCTTGCTCTGGCTGATCTTGAATTCCTAACCTCAGGAGATCCTCCCACCTTGGCCTCCCAGAGTGCTAGGATTACAGGCGTGAGCCACCGTGTCCAGCCTGAATAGCGTGTTTTTTACTGGCCATCCACCACCACGCACACCCTCTCAGCAAGCTGCTGCACGACGGACTCTCTAAGACAATGTAGTAAACCAAAAAAGGAGGGGGCTAGATGAAGGATGCAACACAAGAGAAGGGGACAGGGAATTCCTAGGGTGAAGGGGCAGCACAGTCAGGGGAAAGGGATGCTTCCCACGAGCAACACGGAGCTGTGAGAGTACCCAGTACATGTAGTCACCGTGAGGAGCTTTCCGCCAACAACGAAGAGTTCCACAGTAGTGGCAGAGACTCGGGAGAGTCAGGGAACCGGTGACAAAGAGACAGAAAATTAAGCACAAGAAACCGAGAAAATTAACTAGGAGAGGAGAAGAGAGGGAGACAAAAGAGACAGAGGAAACTGAAAACTTCGCAACAATGAATGATGTTAATATTATAATCATGTACACTCTGAACAGCAACACCACCAAAAACTCAGCTATCTCTATACTGGGAGGATGAAGGAAGGAAAAAGTATAGGAATGAGCTAAGTCCTATCTCCCACAGTAGAAAAACAAATCAGATAATATTTTTTTAAATAAAAAAAGTATACTATTTAGATATAGAGGCAAGTGGCAGGGAAGATAGCTAGAAGTGAAGGCAGCTGTCCCTGGAAGAGAACAAGATGGGGGTGCAGGCCGCTTTGGGCAAAGAACTGTCCTGCCAAATCTTGTGTACAGTCAAAAGCCAAATCTTCCCATAAGCAATGCTTTGATTGACAGTTAATACATCCTTAAGCTATATACAAGTAGCAAGGGATGCTCTATTACCACACAGCTTTATGTGTTTCTTGTTAACCATCACAATATGCATTGATGTTGACTAATCTGTGTACAAACTTGTCGTGCATTATTTTCCCATAATAACTGGTGCCAATTTTGCTTCAGAGACCCCCAAGAGCACTGATGATGTAATTGTAATAAAGATAAGAACACGCTTATTGATAGCTAGACTCTTCAAGAACCAAGGCATGGGTCTCCCCAGCCCATTGGGAGGGCTGGCTAGTTTCAGACAGCAGGGCCCCTCGGGGCTGGTCATTTCCTAAAGATTTTAATACCCACTATGAGCCAGGTTCACTGGGCACAAGGGAAAAAGAGCCTTCAGGAAGCAAAGGTAGAGGGAGGGAGAGGGAGTCAAATTACAGACAAGATACTGCAAAGAAGATCCAACAACTGAAACGTAATAGACCTGCAGCCTCTCTTCACAGTTGGGGAGAGAGAACACGGAACCCTGGGACACCCCTTGCTTGGGATGAATTACTACACTCCTATGCACATAGCACAGTGATAGCTGGGAGAGCTGAGAGTCACCCGGGCCTTTTCTGTGTGCTGTGGTTCAGAGAAGGCTGGCTGGAGACAGCATAATGAGGGACTGCCTCTCGGAAGAGGTGGCTTCAGGGCTGAGAGCTGTGCCAGGACCTGGGGGGAGGCAGGAGGGGAGAGGGGAGAGAAAATTCCAAGCAGGAAGAACACGTGCCAAAGTCCTAAGGCAGGAACAAGCTTGGCTGACTCAAGAGACAGCAGCAAGAGGTAACAGTGAGGTCAGAGCACGGCTGCCCAGCATCACTGTGCAGAGGGTAGATTGGACTCGAGGGGCCAGGTGCACTGTTCTCCACAGGGAAAACCAACTTGCCCAAAGAGCCAAGGCACTTTAGTTCTTAATAAATAGAAGCTGCTTCCAGAATGCACTCCTGAAATAGCAATAGGATGCCTCCGTGGCTGGTAGTGTGACAGGTCCACTGTGTGGGTACCAGGGGGATCTCTTCAAGTTCTCAGCAAATACCTTTGCCAGGAAGCCCTGCGGCCACACCACACTTTGAAGTAGCCTTCAAAGGCCACTGCCAGACCCTTGCCCTCAGCCCCTACCCCTTCAAATGAGTCTGTTCCAGTATGGCAGTCCAGCCACAGGAGGCAGGACACACAAACATGCAGCCCTGGGAAGCAGGGAACACGGGGACACACACATGCAGGCGTGCACACACTCGCAGCCTGCATAAGCCCTCACCATTTCTTTGAATCAGACTTTGTGAAAACAACCTTGCTCTCCAGCCAACATAAACCATAGGCAACAGAGGGCCTTATATGGCTCGAAGCTTTCTTAATCAGAAACAGATAGATGGGCTGGAGTTGGCAGCTCTGAGTTAGAGGGAAGGAAGAACGAAAAAAAAAAAAAGAGAGAATAAAGGACAGCATAGGGAGACAGCAAACTCATTTGTCCAACTCTGTTTTCATCCCTCTTCAGTCTCAGTGGCTTCTTAGTGAAGAATTCCTCCTGGGGCCCATTGCTTTGCCTCCTCTCATGCTTGCATTTTCATTTAAGCCAGAGGACACGAGGAGTCAGACTGCCAGCCAAGGCACAGTTTGAGAGAACTGTTCCCGTCCCTCAAGTGGCCGGCCTCTAGGATGAGCAACCTCACCTAAAGATGGGGTTAGGTGGTTTCCTGAGAAATCAGCTGCTGGGGCAACAAGAGGCCCTCATTCCCCAGAGGCAGCAGTCCTGACCCCTGGCTCCCCAGCTCCCTGGGCTGCCTCAGTCACATGCCTGCCTGGCCCAGGAGGCAGGCTGGGTCACTGCCACGGACCCAGAATAGCAAAGGCTGCCCCAGAGACCTCTTAAACAGCCACCCTGGCCACACACCCCATGCCAGTTTCTAGGGTGGTTTTATTCTCCTCCCTGTCCTGATTAGGCAGTGGCAGCAGTGGCTTTGTCACCAGGACTTGTCCCGTACATGGCAGCCACATGCACTCGGCCCCCCTAAAGGATGCCACCTGCTAAAAATAGCAGCAGCACATGCTTGGCCAGGTGGGCCATACCAAAGTCAAAGGACAAAGCAGGGAGGTTATTCTCAGCACTGCCTTTTCTCCCAGAGACAGCTCCAGGCACATCCAAGTGCTGGTCTCCCTCCAAGGCAGCTCAGGGAAGTGAGAGTCTCTCCCACTCCTTTTCCTTTGGAGGGGCAGGAAGGAGAAGTACAGAAGACTGAAGTGGCCTTCAGATCCGGTGCAGCCCCTATTCTGACAAATGCACACCCAGGCCAAGGTCAGAGGAGGGGTGGGGGCTGGGGGCAATCTACTGCTGGGTGACAGCCTGCTGAGGGCCAAGGGAAGGGCTTGTGACCTCCCTCTGGGGAATCAGTGACTTCAAGGATGGCTTTCTCAACAACTCAGTCTTCAGAGCAGATTCCCTCCGGCACAGCTACCTAGTCTTCCTAGCCCAGGAGGCTTTTTTATTCAGTCATTCCCGGTGCATTTCAAAAGGACCTGATGGTTACACAATTCTGATGACAAAACATGGCTTCAGAAAGACAAGAGGGCTAAAGAGTAGGAAATTTCAGTTTCCCACACAATG